GAGGGTCCCTCCCGGCCCCGCTGCCCCGGCGGAGCTGGGCTGGGGGAGGCTCTGCCCGCGCCCCGCCGCCGGCAGAGAGCCAGCGCCACATTCAGGAGCGATGAATCGCGGACAGGGGAAAGCTGGGAGCCAGGACTCCGTGTTACACGAAAAAGCGGGACAGGAACCACTTCAGCTCCAAGCAAAATCATCTTAGTAATTAAATAAAAAATTTTTAAAAAATTAAAAATAAACCCCACCACAACAGAAACCCTACAATTTAATTTAGAGAGAAGAAAAAACTTCTTATCTTAGCCCAAATTCTAATTTTGGTGATTTAACCTTCCCTCCCCCACCAATCCCCAAAAGCAAGGCCATTGTTTATAAATGGAAAATTCTCATACGAAATGAAGAGAGGCAGTCTGGCGTTGGAGGTAGAAGAAAGGACAAACAAATGCCCTCAGCTTTCCACTATGAACCTTCTGGTGGCCAGCAGGGACACCTCGGTGACTGGGTTCAGTTTTGGGCCCCTCACCCCAAAAAGGACATTGAATGACTCGAGTGTGTCCAGAGAAGGGCAACGGAGCTGGGGCAGGGTCTGGAGCACAGGTCTGCTGGGGAGCGGCTGGGGGAACTGGGGGGGGTCAGACTGGAGAAGAGGAGGCTGAGGGGAGACCTCCTGGCCCTCTGCAACTCCCTGACCGGAGGGTGCAGAGAGGGGGGATGAGTCTCTGGAGCCAAGGAACAAGCAACAGGACAAGAGGGAATGGCCTCAAGCTGCCCAGGGCAGGGTCAGGCTGGCTCTGAGGAAGGATTTCTGTGCAGAAGGGGCTGTTGGGCGTTGGAATGGGCTGCCCAGGGCAGGGGGGGAGTCCCCATCCCTGGAGGGGTTGAAGTGTCGGGCTGACTCAGGGCTGAGGGATCTGGTGGAGTTGGGAACAGTCAGGGTGAGGGTCATGGTTGGGCTGGAGGAGCTTCAAGGGCTCTTCCAACCGAGACACTTCTGCGATTCTGTGATACCTCCCCATGCGTCATCCCATTACTTTAGCCAAACTATTGGCTGAATTTGACCCAGAACATGAATTCCTCCAAAATTATCTTTTTCACCAAATGTTTTCCACCTTGGAAACCAGCCCCAGCCCACTTCACAGGCCCAGCAGGCAGGAGCAGGAGGTCCCAGATGCCCACACGTGGGTCAGGGCAAGCTACGTGACAAAAGGCAGAAATGAGGTTGCATCCCCCAGTCCCAGCACCTGCACAGCACCATTAGGCATGAGTGGCATTACTGCTCGTGCTGAGGCTGCTGTTGCTTGCAGGGTTTTGGTGTCTTTTCCTGCACTTTCACGCCTCACCAACACACTGCTTGCACAGTGGAGCCCGCAGGGCTGCGGCACAGCCTGGCAGGGTTTTGTCAACACACTCGATGGTGCCACATTTTCATCCTCGTACATGTGTCCCTGTGGCTCTGCCACTCATTTCTCTTCCAGAAGACACTCGGCCTGCAAAGCCCCAAAACTCCCGCTGAGTACAAGAAAACCTCCTGCCTAAGAAAATAAATGTGTTCTGTTCTCTCTCTGAGCTACCCACAGCAAAGCAAATATGGGCACAGTTGGGTCCCACCACTGCTTTGTTCCTTAAAAGTGTGTCATTTTAGTCAAACCCTTCCTGGCACATCTGGTCGACTTTAGATAGCAGAGAGAGACAGTTCCAGTATTCCTTCTGCATGTAGCACAATGGGCACTGTTGGGCCAGCAAGCCACAGCCTTTACCACTGTATTGTTCCTGACATCTGAAACATCCATAGCCCAAACGGAAATCATGGTGCCTCTGCAGCGAGAGGGCTGGGGAACACCATCCCCCAGAAAGGTGCAGGGCTTGGGGTACAGAGCTGCCCATGCCAGGAGCCATTTGACAGCACCAAATAGAGCAGAAGGGAAAAGAGAGGTAGGCAGGAGGATGGCAGCTACTTGCCCTTACAGCTAGATGTCCAGCCTCAGTGGGGGTGGTGGAGATGACCCAGGGAGTGACAGTGACCCCGAAAAACCTCCCCATTTGCAGACATAATAGATTGGGCTGCCTTAAGTGAGTTTTGGTCTCTTGCAGGTAAGGAGTCTCTCAGTACAGACTGAGTGTCCACAGACACTCAGTGGAGATTATTTACCTAATTAGAAAGGCTGAATCCAAAATGTGTTTGTAAATATGTGGCTTGCGTTTTGGTCTCTCATTGGGGTGGTTTTGTTACCTGCAAGGAATGCAGTGTTTCCCAAAGCCGGTCTCCTCATTGGCCCCCGTGTGGATGGGTAGGTGGCACATGGCAGGGAGGTCAGCACGGCCAGGCACCCCTCCATGCAAGGGTCACCTCCCACCTTCTATTAAGGCAAATAAGAGGAAGGAGGTGTGATAGGCACAGACCTTTTGCAGAAACTGGAAGGAAATGTTAGCAGTGGCATTAGCCATTCTCCTCTTTTTAGTGATCCAAGTCCAAGGGGTCTCAGATCAGGGCAATGAAAAATGGGACAGGCCTGTGGAGGAGTTAGGACAATGTCGTAGTTTGAGCCCAGAGGGCAACTGAGCACCAGGCAGCCATTTACTCACCCCTTCCCCTCAGGAATGGGAAAGAGAAAATAAAGCAAAAGGCTCAGGAACTGAGATAAGGACAGGGAGGGGTGGTTCATCCATTATAGTCATGGGCAAAAGACAGACTCGTCAGGGGAAGAAAAAGAACATTGCTTTAATTCAAACGCTAAAACCAACAACACTTAATAGATAGAGTAGGACAGTGAGAAGTATAACCACATCTTAAAAACACTTTCCCCCCATCCCTTCCTTCTTCCCAGGCTCAGTTTTATTTCTTCTCTCTCCACCTCCTCCCCTCCAGCAGAGCACGGGGCAGGGAATGGGGGTTGCAGTCAGTCCCACCACTTCATCCCCCTCAGAGTGATGACTTCTCATTCTCCCCTGCTCCAGCATGGGGTTCCTCTCACAGAAGACAGTCCTGCATGAACTTTCTCTGGCATGAGTCCTTCCCACAGCTCTTCCCAAGATGCTCCAGTGTGGGTCACCCCCATGTGTAGCAGTACTCCCAGTGCTGAACTACAACACTGGGGGCTTCTTCCCATAAAGTCCCCATCTTCTTCAGGTGCAGTCACCTACTCTGATGTGGGGTCCTCCACAGGCCACGTGTTGGCCTCTGCTCCACCAGGATACAGGGGGGGCCTTTGCTCTGGTGCAACTTCCCCCCTTCCTCCTCCTCCTTCTTTCCACCAACCTCAGTGTTTGCAGCAGTGTCCTTCTCATAACATCTCACAACGCCACCTTCTCCTCCCAGCTTCCCCCTCTTAAATACGTTATCACAGAGGCACAGCCACTGGCACTAATTGCCCTGGCCTTGGTGCAAAGGCAGGTCTGATTTGGAGCCGGGGAAGCTTAGAGAAGCTTCTCACAGTGGCCACTGCTGTGGTCCCCTCCCCTGCTACCAAACCCCACCACAGAAACGAGCACAGACAATCACCTGATTTGGAGCCATGTCAGGAGCTGCCATTAGGACAGTGGCAGCAGCAATGTTAAGGACCTAAGAGAAGTCCCTGGCAAGGCAGCCACAGGATATGCCTTGTGAAATAGCAAATGCTGTCCCAGCACACAGCCAGACATCATCTATCTGACCTCTGCATCCCCTCATTGTGTCCCACCAGTTAAACCTTTCTCCTCATCCTCAAGCAGACTGTCTGAGCTATCAGAGAGGAAGTCCTCCAGATCCTGCTGCCTCGTCTTGAACTCCAGAGCAGTGATGCGCTGCTTGAGCTTCATTTGAGCATCGCTGTACTCCACCAGGAGCCGGCCAAAGTGGGTGTGCAGTGTGTCCAGGCTCAGGGACAGCCTGTCCAGCTTCTCCTCCATGCTCTCCCCTTCCCTGCTTTCCTCTGCTGCTGACTCATCCAGCAGCCCTTCCTTGATCAGAATCTCACGGCCACGCTCCTCCAAGACCCTTCTAGCATCAGGATACTCTGTGACTGCTTCCATAAGATCTTCCTTTGACAGGCAGAAGAGATCAGAGTAGCCCAAGCTACGGATGTTGGCTGTGCGCCTGTTGCCCATTTTGCTCCCTTTAATGTTGAGGATGCTGATCTCACCAAAGCAGCCTCCTGCAGTGAGCAAAGCATACTGTGTCACTCCATCATCTCCCACCACAGCCAGTTTCCCCTCCTTGATGATATACATCTCTTTCCCAATGTCTCCTTTCCGGCAAATATAATCCCCTGGGCTGAACACCTGAAGGCGAAGCTTCAGCACCAGCTCCACCAGTAGACCTGCCTCACAGTCCTGGAAAATCCTCACTTTCTTCAGTGTCTCCAGGTGAACATTGATGGCAATCTCTGCCCTTAATTTATCAGGGAGATTCTTGAGGATTTCCCGTTCATCTACTGCCTTCTTGTTGGTCCACAGGTAGTCAAACCACTTGATGACTTTGGTTTCCATGTCTTTGCTCACCTTGCGAAACTGCATGTAGTGTTTGATGGCATCAACTTTTGCCTGGAACTCTGCCCTGGTGGCATTCATGTTGGATATCATGGATCCCACATTCCCCACGATGGTGGCAAAGATGAGGACACCAATGAGGAAATCAAAGATCACAAAGAGGTACTCTTCATCACGCACAGGGGGAGGGGTCTCTCCAATGGTAGTCAAAGTCAGCGTAGACCAGTAGAGGCAGTAGACGTACTCCCGGGTCAGATACCCATATTCAGGGTCTGTGATGTTGGGATAGACCCAGGTGTCCTCTCCAAAGCCTATGGCTTTGGAGATGGCATAATAAATGCACGCATTCCAGTGGATGATGACCAGGATGTAAAGAACCAAGTTACTGATGCGGAAGATGTTGGGGTGGCTGGTTCTGGTCTCGGTGCTATCAAAGAATTCAAACATGCGGGAGAAGCGCAGCAGCCTGTTGAAACGCAATTCAGGGCAGTGCAATCCCACAGCAAAGTATGCCAGGTCTGTGGGCATGATGGAGAGAACATCCAGCTTGAACTGTAAGGTGTGGATGTAGTTATCCCGTAACTTCTTCAGGTCCTTAACCAGGAGGCCCTGTTCCAAGAATCCTAACAGAGAAGCAAATGATAGAATTATCTTGGCTTATGTTCAGCTCTTCTGCAGGCTTTGTATGCACTTCTGAGAAACATTTTAGGGTATGTCATGCACATACGAGCATATATACAGAGAGTCATCCAAATTTTACCAGTTCCACCTGGTCTACTCAGTTTACAAGCTTTTGTTACCACTCAAGCCCTTCATCTGGCAAAAGCCACCTAAAGATATCACTTAGGGATTCAGTCTGTTGCTACAAAGAAATGGGGACACAGAGGTTTCCGTCCTCCAGAACATGAATTATTGCAGTTCCAACAGAAAACGTACAGCCACCTGCTGTGTTCCGAGAACATTAAATTCTACCATTTTTCAGTGTAGATAATTCATTAGCTGAACTGATGCAAAATCAGAGATACAGACCTGCAACTATGCCCGAATACTAATAGTAATGCACGTAATTTTGTACAATTATTCAAAGGTGAAGCTGAAAGCTGAGATGATTAATCTTTCATTCTGAAACTTACTCCGTTTCTCAGATCTTTTAATTAGATTCTTTCTCTGGAGACTGCTTCATACTAGTGACTGCCAAGGTAGACAAAATCCTTCCTAATGCAGCAGTGGAGTAAAACTCTCCCTTGTAGTTTATGTCCACTTTTAGGGGAAAAAATAAAAGCACTGACAAGTAAGGATACTGCTTCTGCTTACCTGTGTGCAGGTGGATCACTATGTCCCCAACATAGATAAAGTCTGAGATGTAGTCTAACACGAGCCAGAGGACAAGGTAGGTCTTCTGCAGGTCACTGAAGCAAGCCCTGGAGGAAGGTCATAAAATAGGGTGGTGAGACCAACAAATCTCCTTATCATCTCCAACTATTACAGATGAATATAGGCTGATTCTCAGGGTCCTTAACTCTACAACCAAGCTTGGCCACTTGCACCTCTTCTAGAAATTAAAATCCCCTTCTCTGAAAAATCTGCCCTCCTCTGACCTAGGTAAAGCAACATCTTGAAACCACCTCCCAAATTCACCTTGCAGCTTTACCCCAAATTCATGGTCCTTTCCAACTGGTGCCAGGGGACAGATGCTCTGCAGAAGTCACAGTGATAGTGGGGAATCCCTTCCCTTTAGGTTCCTACCAGCCCCAGTAGCACCAGTGCCAGTTGTCTGATCCTGACTGAGCCATGACAACCAGCTGAACAGGAGGATTAGAGGAGACAGGGACCCTACAGCCTCCCAGCTCACCTGGCTACAAGCAAGCACCAGTTATAGAGGACAGGAACTGCGATGACAGCCAGCCAACGGTAATACCAGTCTCCTGCAGGGTCCACCACAAAGATCTTCCATTTCTTCCTGGAAGCAGAGAGAAAACAGAGCTAGAAATGCATGAATAAAGGGCTAAACATAGACAATAGGGTTGGAAGGAACCATCGAGCCACACCCTTCATCCCTTGCACTAGACTGGCTCAAACATAGCTGCAGCTTGAATGCCAGTCTGTATCCTAAACCAAATCTCAGCAGTGCTGAGCAAAAATGTCCAGCACTGTTTAAACTCCTTTATCCCCAAAACGGGGCTCTGTAATGTTCCAGAAGAGTAAACTGTAAGATGGCGAGGCAAAGCAGATGCACACAGCACCCCCAGTGCAGGGCCAGAAACAGATACATGGAAGGTGATCAAAAAACTTCTCTTTACGTGACACTGCCTCTCCCAGATGAGGTATGGGTTGGTGCCAGACATATTTTAAGAGAAGATTAATTAGAGCAGGAAGGAAAGTGTGCTGAAGATCAGTGGGAGCACCAGGAGGGGATGCCTAAACCCCAGAGCAGCAAGCCGGGGGGTGGCAGTTGGCACTGCAAGGCAGCCATCACCGTGCTGCTCTCAGCTGCCTGCCTGCAGTCTGCTTAGTCCTGGGTCCAGCCTTTGAACTGCTCCCAAGTGTTTGATCCTGCTCATCTTGGGACTCTGAGATAAGATGTGTGTGCTCCAGTTGCCAGATCTCACTGGAGAAGGCAAGGAAGAGAAACGCTGCAGCTGGGCTGATAGGCTTAGCTGCTGCAGCCCGGTGGGGCAAAACTCCGTCTCTTTTCTTCCCTCCCTTCCAGCTTTTGAACACGCAAAACTCCCTCCAGTAATAGGAAAAAAACAACCCCCTTGCCAACAGATTCCCCATGCCTACCTCCCTGCTTCTGACAGCTTCAAAAGCAAAACCTCTGCCTTGAAGGCTCCTTCCCCACAGCACAGGCAGCAGCACCCGCGGTGCCCGGAGAGTGGGGACCAGCACTGAGGGCAAACCCAGCAGCACTCCTTCATGTTTGCTCTGGGTACAGCCACAGACAAGCAGGTGGTCCAACCTCCCCATTAAAAGTGTGTGGAAACTGCAATTTAAATGTTTTTTGAGAAAAGGACCCTCTGCTCCCTGGAACATACAGCATCAACACACAGGAAGCACTGACTCACCTGCAGCCAGCTGGTGCTGTTATAACACCCACAAGCACTAATAATGTCAATAACGGTGTTAATTACATTTGTAATTTCAGCTTTGGATCACTAGTGCTTCCCACGGCAGGTGGCCAGAGCCACAGATATTACACTGACTGTGGGGCCAGGGCTGGAAAACCAGGGTTCTGTGTTAACCCAGGAAGAGATTATAATCATCTGCTTCCTCCCAAAGGGTTTGCACTCAAACCTCCAACCGTGGAGGCTCCCACGGCCATGAAGAGCAGCTCACAGTCGGAGTTACCAGACGTGGGGCTCTTCTTACTTGTGAAGCTGAGGACCTGGAAACCAGCAGAAGTTACCACCATCTCCCCAGGAGTCCACTGGCACTGAGCAGCCCTTTCACAGCACGCTTCAGCTCCCTCTGATAATTAACAAGCTCCCCTTAACCTCACAGGGCAGAACGTTTTCTTCCATGACTAGTAAAGACCCAGATACAAGGCTCCAATATTTTTCTCCTACTGAAAACAATTATTTCTTGGCGTTTTAATTACCATGTATAATGTTAGGGTCCAGAGTAGTCCATGAGCTTTGCCCTTTAATTAGCCAGCAGAAGAAAAACCAGGTTATTGCTTTTCACCAGGAGAAGTATGAGCTGAGCAGATGAAAGGGCTGGATTTGAAAGAGCCTTTTCAGAAAGCTGCCGTCACGGTGTCTGCTCTTGGGCTGGGGGGGATAATGGGCAGCAAATGCATTCCCTTCATCTGCCTTCATACTGCTGATGATGAATGAGACTGGCAAATCCCAAGCATCTGTGCTTGCTGTGGTCTCCTGGGTGGAACCCCCGCACCCCTCAGCTTGTCCCCAGCTCCTCATATGCACAAGCTGGAGGTGCATTTCCTTATAGACTCAGGGCTGGCTCCAAATGCCAACCCTAGTGTTGAACTGCTCTGAAAATGGGGAGGCCTGCTAGCTGTCACGAGCCATGCAATGTGTGTTTGCTTCCAGGGCATGCAGCAGGGGGGAGAAGATCCCACAGGTAAGGGACAGGCCAGGTCTTTTCCACCGGGATGGACTCCCAGGTCCTGTGTGCCTGCGTAACAGCCCAGCAAAGCCAGGCTGCCTGCCAGGACAGAGGCTGGAGAGGGCAGGGAGGACCCTTCCCACAACTGCATCCCACCTCCCCCTTTCCCTTTCCCACCCGCCTCCATTAGCCATCACTGCTGGGAGCCCCCAAGCACCATGCACAGCTGATCTCCGGCCAAAGACAGCTGGGGCCACAGGAAAGGGACCCTACTTTTCGATTTCCTCCTCGGTCTCCACGTCCTCTAGATCATTGTCAGCACCTGCAGCCACTGTCTGGAGCTCGGGGCCCTGGAAACGCTCAAGGAAGGGGTCTGGCCTTTGCTGCTCCTCGTGCAAGCTCTTGCTGGCCCAGTCCCTCAGCACCAGCACCAGCCGGGCTATCCTGGACAGGGGAAAGAGGCAGAGTCAGGAGGTGTCTGTGGAGCAAGGAGAAAGCAAAATCTGGAGAGCAAGAAGAAGAGCTACAGCTGAGAAAAAACTCTTACAGCTCCTTCTCAAGCCCAAATACTTCCTTTCCCCCACACCCTTGTAGCGATGGTGTAGGACCAAGAGTATGTGAGCAAGAGAGTCCACCCTGGCAGAGTCCTACAGCTCCTTCCTCAGTCCTGCTGCCGTTCCCACAGGGACATAAGGAATGTGTGGATGACTGGGGCAGTGTGAGGCTGCCTGCAAGGGAGAGGAGCCCCCAAGCCCTCCTGAGGCCCAGAGGTGATGGAGTCATCCCCTCCTGCAGCCCCCTCCACGGGCACTGGGTCATGCAGAGCAGCATCCAGACACTGGTCCCTGCAGCCCTTGGATGCCATACAGCAGGAGAGGATTCTGACCCCACGCAAGTGTCCAGTGTCAAAGCCAGGCACAGAAGGCTCAGGCTCACCCTGGGCAGACAGAACACTCAGGTACCTGGCCAAGGCTTGCCTGCCTCGGAAAGCGGAGGCAGCTGGCTCACCCCCATCCAGGGGACCTCTTCTCTGCAGCTCTGAGGAGGGGTCATCCTGGGTTGAACAGGTCCTGCAGTGGGGAAAAGGTGAGGTCACTGCCACACCATGCCATCGTGACACCTGCCAGGCGAACTGGAGGATGTGGGCAGCTGCCAGGTCTTGGCAGACACCCCTCTCCCCTGCCCTACCACTGCCTCCCTCCACCAAACCAGGGGCCAGCCTGACCTGCCCGTGCTGAGCCCCGTCTCCTCCACGTCACCCTCCGCTCTGGCTTGGGCGGGTGGGCTGGAGTGGTGGTTGGCCGGTGAGCTGTGCAGACCATTACTCTTGGATGTCATCCTCTCTGTGAGGAGACCACAGGCACACACCCTGCCCCAGAGACCTGCAAAGAGCAGAAAAATGCCACAGGAAGAGCCATGCAGGGCACATCCCACTGTTTGAACGCAGAGATACAGCACAGCACAGGAAGAGACGGTCAAACCCCATGGGATGTGCCCATCCCACATTTTCTACCACCAGCCATCACTGATGCTGCTGTAAGAGTCCTGCAGAGCATTCCACCCTCCCCAAGAAATCCCACATCTGTCCGTGGCCCACAAAAGATGCTCTCCTCGTTGTTCAGGCTCTTTGGCCATTGCTGAGACAACAGCATCCCCAGCGAGCCGTGCCATAACAACGAGTCCCATGACAAGTCCACGGCACTCTCAGCACCGCTGCCTGCCCAGGGACAAGAAAATACACTTGTAAGGGATGTAAGTGCAAAGCCAGCCCTGGCAGGGAGATGCTGTTGTGCAGCAGCACAAGGTAGACTTTGCACATAGAAGGGTGTTTGTACCCAAGCAACCACCCTTCTTCCCTAGGGCACAGCGACCTACTGGTGACCTGCCCAACAAGCCCCACATCTCATCACTGCAAAAATTGCCCCTGCATTGGAAATTAAGGTTTGCTATTTAAAAAGAGCCTTGCCGAAGTTCCTGCTGGCAGGAGTGACCATCTGGTTTCAGAGAGCAGAAGACAAGACCTTACATTAACACATGGAGGCTGCTGAGCTGTTAAGTCTGTGATTTCACTGGATTTTATTTATCTAAAAAGCAAGAGATGCCCATGGGGCTTGCCCAGCCCCAGATGTGCAGCCCTCAGTATTCTGTTCCACCCCAGAACAGGCCACACCGTGTAAATGCACCTCATGGCAACACAGACTTGCACCTGCATGGACACAAAAGCGCCCGGGCATATCACCCAGCTCTACCTAGACCACATATTCCCACCCTGGCCACCCGCCGGGGCACAGTGCACCCTCCATACCCACAGCGCACAGGTGAGGCAGGTTCCTGGGGGTGACACGCTTGTGCTCTCACATGGTGCAGCCCATGGCCGAGGCTCTGCTCGCAGGAAGGCGATGCCTTGTACACCTCTGCCAACACACACCAAAGACAACGTCCACGCTGCACACACAGGGACAGCTGTCCACACCCAGGCAAGCCACCTCCCCAGGGCAGCAGAGCTGCTGCTGAGAAGCCACCACTGTCCACTTACGAGCCTGGTGTCCCCCGAAGCCTTCAACATCTGTCTGCTGCCTAACGCAGGCTAGCAGGGGTGGCTGGGGAGTATCCCTCCCCCAGGAGCCTTCTGGGCTGTCTCCAGAGCACACAGGTTTTTAAAGCACGCAGGTTTTTAAAGCACGCGTTGAGCTGCAAAGCAAAGCGAGCACTCCTGCCTTTCTCCCCTGCCCAAGCAGAGAAGCAGGTAAGGTGGCTGGGCAGCAGCCTGGCAGCGGCAGAGGGGCCCCCGCGGCGTGCAGGGAGGATGCACACGCGTGCGTCTGTCCCCGTCACTCCAGCAGCCCATCCCCTGAGCATCCTTGATGCCCTGAGCAGCAGGGCGCACTTCAGAGGAGTTCATAGCAGCCAGCTTTGTGTCTGGGGGATGAAAGGGGAGGAGGGGAATGTGCTGCTCAGAGATGATCCATTTTCCTACTCACACTTCACCTCCTCAGTGGCCATCCTGAGCAGCTCTGGGTCTGGCGGCTCCCCAGTCCCCAGCAAACCCTGGGGAAGGGTCACTGCCCACCCAGGGACAGGCACAGCCAGCAGACCCCAGCCAGGCTCAGGTCCTGCCACACCAGGTCACATACTGGGATTGTCGCCCAGGCTGCCTGCTCCTGCTCCCCTCCCAGCCCTCTGCCCTAGGGAAAAACAAAGCGGGTGACTTTTTCCCTGCTTAATAGGCTGTGCCACAACTACAGCTACGATGGAGAATTTGCAGAAGTAGCCACATTTTAACATCCTCCCATCCAGATACCTCTTCTCACACTTAGGGAGCACAAGATCAGATGTGCTGCTCTGGAGTCCCAGCAAAGAGAGCTTAGAGTTTGAAGATGATCACAAAATGCATCTTTCACCAATTTCTGCCATCATATTTTACTCACAAAGCCATTCTAATAATGGGTTAACAAAGAATTTGCATCCCCAAGGCAATAGGGAAGAGGGTACTTTTTACCCCCTTCCTCCCCTTGCAGTGGCTGAGGCTGGATCAGTCCCTGCCATGCGCAAGGAGCCCTGCCCTGTGTGCAGGGCTGATCTGGAAGCACCAGCACTGGGAGTCCCTTCGTTATCAAAGGTTTACCTTTTTTTTTTTTTTTTTTTCTTCAAAGCCTTAAATTCCACCTGTTCTGATCTTGCTGAAATCCAGGACAGCAGGGAGCCTGAAGGAAGAAATGAGAATTCTGCAGTCTTGGCCAGGGCTGCTGGCGGCATTGGGTGCCTCCTGGGTGAGCACCCAGCAGCAAGGGACACGTCACCCTGCTTTTGTCTCCATGCCACAGACCCCAACACTGGGGACAGATCACAGAGCAGCAGCACTGCAGCAGCATGTCCCCCTTCCACCTCTCCTTTTGCTCCCTGCCTGCAGCTGCCTTCAAAAGCAACATGGGAACCCCAGGAGCAGCTCCCTCACAGCTCGCTCAAGCACCATATTGCACAAGACACTATTTTCTGTGCATGTCATTGTGGCAGTGACCTAGGAGACACCCAGCCCTGCCACGTGTGCTGCCCTGGGACAAAGAAAAGCCAAGAAGAGGTGGCAGGGAGAGAGAAAGGAAATAAATAAAAGTATTGCACCCTAACAGGGACAGAATTAACCAGAAACTCTCCTCCTCCAGGTCCTCCCCCAGGCATGGCAGCTGGCATGTGTGTTTTACACCAGTTGGCCAAATGGCCTGGTAGCTATAGAGGGCAGAAATCCAGCATCTGATTAAATAAGCATGTGTGGCTGAGACATCCAGCACCGGGTCAGGGTCCTGCTGCCGCGGAAATAAACCTTACCTATTCCCATCCACTGGGATAGAAGGACCAGACTCCACAGCTGGTAGAAGAAACACGTCCAGAACACACACAGTTTATTAAAATATGCATTCTATGGGTCAGTGTTTCCAGATTCACACCAGGATTTATGCCTTACGTAAAAGTCACATTGTATCCCCCACAACCTGCCAATAATTAGCCTTTGAGAACACATACAGTTTGATCCCCTCTCCTTCAAACATCTTCAATCCACACTTTGAACATGATGTGTCCCCCCAGAGTGGTACAGAATCACAGAATCATCTAGGTTGGAAAAGACCTTGAAGATCATCCAGTCAACCCTTCTCACCCTAAATACAGCTAAATTAAAAAAAAAAAACAACCCAAACCACAAACTTCCTCCAAAACATGTTTGTACCTCTCAGAGATAATCAGCCGAACAATTTACCTACTCACCTGGCACGAGTCACACAGCAGCAGCCTCCTTATACAGACCCATTGTGTAAGGTCCCCCGGTAATCCTGACCATGTCCCTAAGCCACCAGCCACAGGAACCGCCTCTGCACCAGTGCTCCCATCCCTCAGAGACACCCTGCCACGGCACGGCAAGCCCACCTCACCATCCTGGCTCTCTTCTGCAATAAATCTGTGCTCTCCTCTGCTCAGCTATCGGGCACAGGTTCAGACCTGCAATTACTCGTGGGACAGTTATTTATTAGTCAATGTCCAGCTGCCAGATTTACAGTCACAGATGCTTGATGCAGTTGCAGGCAGAAAACACCCGAGCATCCCTGTCTGTAAATAATCTGTTGGGACATCTGGATGACCTGCAGATCCAGCTACAATTACTTATAAGTGGAATAGAGAGGTCCTGTTAAGCCCTGCCAAAAACCCCAGAGCCTGCAAGCACAACTCCAGCAGATGTGCTAGATGAACCACCAAGAGCATCTCAAAGTCACCTCAGAGCCAAGTGTTAGTAAACTCCACAGAAGGAGAGAAACAGCAAGGCTGTTGAACTGGGCTTGGTTTTAGCTGAAGAGCATCTGGGCCAAGAATTCCCCTCACCTGTGTTCTTGCACTGTCACTGAAGTTACAGTTTGGCAGCAAACCTGGGAGCGATCCTGCCCTCTGGCACTGGCAACCTAACAAATATCTACTGCTGCCCAAATGGGCAATTTCCCACGGCCTGTCTGGTGCTGTCACTGTTGGTACAAGGTTTTATAATCCAGAGACTCACCACGGGGAGGTTTCCCATTTAAATCTCTCTGGGAAAGAGCCAAGCTCCCAGATAAACCCAGACCTCAGAAACACTCTTACAGTCACTTTGGATCTGAACATTTGTGAAACCGCTGCTGAACTGCTTCGAGCAGGGTGGGAGCCAAGGAGATGGTGGCTTAGCAGCAGCTGCAGGGGTGGGAGCTCCCGGCTCCTCCAGCTCCATATCCTGTAGTGCAGGGGCTGTGGCACGTGAGAACTGGAAGTACTACTTCCACCAAAGAGCAGTGGCACAAGGAAGAAGAGAAAACCCACCAGCAGTTTAAAAACTCTTAACCACTCTACACAAGCTTTTGGGGTGGAAGATGAGGAACAGATGCAACAGCAGTTGGCTGAGGACCTTTATGGGGTCAGACTTGAGTTATCCTAACTGGAAAGTGATCAAGTAACTGGGCCCATCACAGTCTAAGACTAACAGGACCCCATGTCTGCAGACACCTGATGCCTTGGTTTTGCATCTCCTCTGGCAGGCAGGGCCAGAGGGTCTCCCATTGCTTTGTGCAGGATGGAGACCTCCATTTTCTTAGGAGACCTGGGCTCTTCACAGCAGCTTCCCACACAGGTGCTGACCCCATCAAACGCACAAGGGGCTTGCTAGTGTACACAGAGCATTTGCAACCACAGCCCAGCCCAGGGGTCACACCTGCTGGGTCATACTCCTTGCACCCCACCCCTCCCTGACACCCATCTCCAGTGGCTGTGGTACCAGGTCCAGCTTCGTCGTTTCCCTCACCCCCCTCTGCTGTTAGAGCATGGGAGAGAGATGGCACCTTCAGTGTAATCGGGGCCTAAAGGACACAGATCCCCAAGGGCCTACAGTGCAAAAAGCAGGTCAAGTTAAGAAGAAACACACAGTTTTACTGTTCGCAAGTTCACAAGCAAGGATCCTCTCCTGCCCTCCGCCACCCTGCCAGGGTTGGCCAGGGGAGGTTGGGGCATGAAAAATCATCTCCTCAGCCAGAGCCACGTGTTGATGAGACAGGCAGAGATCAGCACAGAGTAGACCAGAGCCTCCTTCTGTCGCCAGGTGTTGCACTGCTCCTCCAGCACGCGAAGCCTCCCCGAGATCCTCATCAACTGCAAAGGAAGCAGTGGGGCTGCTGTCAGCCCTGCAGCAAAGTGCAGCACACTGGCTGCATCCCAGAGCCATGGGACAGCAAGGGATGGAAGGATGGGATCTGCTGTCTCCTTCAGGTCCTTTTCTAGAGCAGCATAGAATCCTAGAATGGTTTGGGTTGGAAGGGACCTTAAAGATCATCTAGTTCCAACCCCTCTGCCATGGGCAGGATCACCTTCCACTAGCCCAGGTTGCCCAAAGCCCCATCCAACCTGGCCTTGAACCCTTCCAGGGAGGGGGCAGCCACGGCTTCTCTGGGCAACCTGTGTCTCACCACCCTCACAGTAGAGCATTTCTTCTGTATAACTAATGTGAATCTCCCCTCTGTCAGTTTATCCCTACCCTCCTGATCACGCCCTCCCCCCTTTCCTGTAGCCCTTTTCAGTCCTGGGAGGCCCCTCTAAGGTCTCCCCGGAGCCTTCTCTTCTCCAGCTGAACCCCCCAACCCTCTCAGCCTGTCCTCACAGGGGGGTGCTCCAGCCCCCAGCAGCTATCTTTGTGTGGGAGAATTAGCAGCAGTAACTCAGCTCCTGAGCAGACGCTTTAAGAAAAGCTCCTTCCCATCAGAACAGCATCTGAGTCCTTTACTGCCAGCAGATGGAGGGGTCTGGCTGTCTCCTGTAGCCCTACAGCTCCTCAGGGTAGGAGCTTGATGGGTCAACACACATGTAAGTCCCCGCCTAGTTCTCTATTAGCAGCATCAGTCAGGACCAGCTTGGCAGCACCAGCCCATCAGGACTGAGCAACAGATCCCTGGAGCCTCCTCATCCACCCTCCTATGGCTTTCCCAGGAAACGTTTGCAGCCCTTCACTCCATCTCACCTGCTTTCTCATTGTTGCCATCTCAGCCGCCTCGACCTCCTCCAAGGCACTCTCTGGAGCTGGGCCAGCCTCCTGGGAGCTGGGGAAGAAAAACAAAGATGCAGACGGACAAACACTGCTCGAGAGGTGCAACTGCCATCCCGTACACACAGCACTGTCACAGGGAGCCAAGCCATGCAGGTAACATGTGTGTGCCCAGGACATGCTGGACACCAGGAGAGAGGAAACAGCACCTGCACAGTATCTCTTCTTAACCCCCATTGTGCCTATTTATACCCGTCCACCCACAGTGATCACAACAAAACATGCCATGACAGACAACAGGGAAAACACATGCTTGTATTTCTTTAGAGGTCCAACAGAGAAAAAACATATTTACCAAGCATCCATTCTCTATAGTCAGAGGAATTCATTGAGGGTTGGATAAACCTTCTTTAGAGCCAGTCAGGTAAATAAGTATCACAGGCCCAGTGCTGAAATGGAGGGATGATCTCATTTACATCAGCAGGTGAGGATCCCGCTGGTGGGAAGTGGCCATCAACTGGGGGGAACTATCATCTGAGCAAGTGCGTCAGCCAGCAGAAAAGGGTCCTGTGTTTGCTGAGACAAGGAATTGTTCCTCTCCAGTATCTCCAGAAACCACAAGCTCACTTTCCCTGCTCCCCCTGACAAAAAAAGTATCACTTTTTGCTCTTATAGCAAATTTTACCTGCAACGGGAAACATAAGCAACCCAAGCACGCACCACTTTCTTCCATCCCTGGAAACAAGAGGGCCACCACTGGGGTTAGCTGCTGCACTGGCAGAGGCAACACACAGACCACGGATCTGCAGGGCATCCCCTGGAGCCGTGCTGCAGGGCCCACAGCACCGACCCACAAAACAAAGTAGGTCCACATGAGAAAAAACAAAATTGCCACATTCGGTCTGTTACTCCCATCAACATAGGCTGGCTCTACATCAGTTCTTCTATAACCAAAACTCCCCTAGGCACACCAGTAACTCGCATGGGCACTCGTGGATACCATACGGGCTAACGAGTGTCTAACACAGCTCCTTCAGAGACCTTGGGGAGGAGAGGGTATTTATTCCTGTTTGCAACATGTTGTTGATCTTGCTGAAGACAAGCCAGAGCAGCACATGGAGATTCACTGAATCTCTGTCTGAAAACACATTTGTGAGATAATACCTCTATGTAATGTAGCCAGGCTGTAAAATGAAATTCACAACAAAAAGAAAATCCAATTTCCCCCAGCACAGAGCCATTAAAAAAGGACACATCCTGCAGCTTTTGACTGAAAAATCCCAGTTGATACAGGTGGAACACCCTTTAGAGACTAGAAATTACTTTCCAGTAACTCATACTTTTCAAGAGGTCAGTGTCAGACAAATACTCATCTCTGTGCGAGACCAGACTTTTCTTTACTAAAATTACAGGATAAACAAGTCAGCTCATTCATTTTTTAATTTTTATTGTTTCATAGGTGTAGAAAGTTGTCATGCTGAAGAGCTACCGAATGCATCTGAAGTGATGCAAAGTACCAAGAAAAGGTGTTTCAAGGTGGCTGGCTTCAAAGCGAGCCCGAGCCCTGGGCAGAGGCCCCAGACTCAACCCCCTGCAGTACAGCAGCTCCACAAGCTACCACCTCCCGTCGTACCACGGCCAAAACCTCCTCTGCTCCTGATGGGAGGAGGGAGATGGTCTTACATAGCCACTAATCAGGTCTGTTGGCATGCCCAGATTTTGTTTTTTAAAAAAAACAAAGTGACATTTGAAGACAGTCAGCCTACTGTGGTTAAAAGCAGGGACATCACTTTGCACCGTCCGCAGACAGAAGCCAGCTCTGCTGCCTGCACCTCCGCGCCAGCTGGGGAGGGAGGGCAGGATATGCCACCGATGGCAGGGATGATGGATGCTCACTCTCCTCCCTTTCTGCCTGGAGGCTTTGCTCAAGGAGAATTAGAAGTATTTAGATGTACCTCTGGGTGCTCAGCAGTCTTAGAGCAGTGGGGACACCTTAAGGCTGCAGTGAGGTCTTTGAACATGTTGAATTTACTACACTTGCACAGATAAGAGCACGGTGGAGACAGTTGCTCCAGCATATCCAGAGAGATTGAGGTCACTGCATACCTGCTCCAGCAAGCATGCAGGCACACTGCACCCAGGCCAGAGGCATTGGCTACGGGATGAGTAACTTGGAGCAGCCAGTTGGAAAAGGTTAATTAAGAGTGCCCAAGATACAGCCAAGGGTGCTGGAAGCCTGAAGGAGAGGGTGTCTCAGGGGCAGGACCTGGGTCAAGCCATCTGTTCTGGATTTTGATTCCTTCACACATTTCTCCCCATCAAGCCACCAAGGAACACATAAAAATTAGCACTTGCTTAGCAGTGAAGAGCAGCTGAAGTCCCAGCAATGTCACAGGTGGCATTCAAGCACCCAGGGTGCCTGGTGTTAAGCTAAGCAGGAGACACGAGCTGGGCTGGGTTAGCAGGGTGCAGCCAGACTGCCTACACCGGGCACTCCTGGGCCAGGCACCCAGAGCTGGCAGACAGGACAGGCAAGGAGGACAGCCTGGGGCGGCCATGCAGGACCATCCTGCCCCTGCACCGTGCAGCCTGTGGTTATCAGAGCTCGTGCCTCAGCAAGGCAAAGGCAAGTCCTTGCAGAACGGCAGGGAGGTGGCTCAAGACGAGCCAAAGTCACCTGGATGGTGCTGGGTCTTGCAGAGAGTCCTGGACACGGTGGAAGAGCACCTGGCCCAGGAGGTACATGGTCTGGAAGATGTTCTGCATGGAGTAGATCCTGCCCGTCTCCGGGAGCGGGGGGAGCGGGGCACTGCGCACGGGCCTGGGGTGCACACAGAATCACGCCTGTTATTTCCTGGCCTCATACAGCACAGGCACAGCCTGGCATTTGGGAGCACCCCTCCTCGCTTCAGCGGCTCCAAGCATCTCCGGGAAATGCCATCGGCACCCAGACACCCGTGTCATCAGGTGGGGGAACCCCCTCCAGCAGCCCCCAGGCTCAAGGATAGTTATATGACTCCTCTGAAGCTAATTGTGGCTGTGAAATAACCAGACCTTCACCAGCTGCTCTCACAGGGGTTGCAGAAGGCAGGTCTCCTGCCACACAGGACAACCCTGGACTTCTCAGGGGGAAGGTGGCTCTGTTCTGGGATTAAATTAAAAAATTAGATAATTTTTCCACTGGAGAGAATCCAGAGCCCAGGATCATTATCACCATGCTACTGCTCACAAGCTATGCTCACAGAGCTGAAAAGCTGCATGCTCTTAGCCCACCCTGTCTGCAAGGCACTGCAAGTTTCAACAACCCTGGTAGAAACCCAGTGAAGCCCTGGTGCCTCATTTGCCAGTGGTCACCTGCCCGTAGGCCCCAGCACTCTGCCATGCTGGTGCTGGAGCACAAGACCATGTTGCAAAGCACTGGGAGGAGGACGGACAGAGCCGGAGAGGCTGGGACAAGCCAGAAGAGGCTGTGAGGTCCTCTCGGCCCAACAGCCAGGCAACAGCACGCCCAGCCCGCTGCGAGAGGGGACGTGGTCTCCTACGTGCATCCCCGCAGAGAGCTCATCGCCCTGGGGATCAGTGCAGCTGCCTTCAACGCTGCCAGACACAAACTTCTCTGACACCAGGAGCCACATTCCTCTTGTGCAAGAACAGGACTTGCAAGGCATTGCCTTGACCCGACCTGGATACCCTCCCACCTCGAGGCACCGACACCAGAGAATATCAAAGCAGCACAGACAACAGGAGATGCTGATCCCCCCACCCCAGGCAGCTCCAGGTTCATGCTCACCGCTCATGGTGCTGGCCTGGGCTCCGCAAGGCCAGCTGGACACAGTCACTTGGAGTTCTCTCCCGCCGTGACCTGCTACTGTGATGGCCCTGTTGGCATCAAACACAACCGTGTGAGCACAGAGACCCTGTACAGGGCGAGCCCAGCCCGTGGTCTGCAGTGCCAGGAGCCCATCAGCGTGGGGAAGGTCAGTGGCAGGATCTGACACTAGGGAGGGTGGAGAGACACGCTCAGAGCAGGGTGACCCTGCAAGATCAGCAAGGAGCCTGCTGATCTGATCTCTATTCAGATCAAAAATCCTCCACACAAAGTATCTGGGAACAGCTCTAGAATATCAGGGAGGTGAAAACACTTGAGAATGCAGATCAGCAGCTCCAGCAGCCAAACTCAAGCCTTTGCCTGCCCATGTCAGGGGCCTCTCTTTGAATTAGTTTCACACAAGGTTAAAATCTGCTTTCAGCTCTGACACCAAAACTCTTTATGCTACAGTGATGAAACAGCTCCATCTCGTACTTCATCCAAGAGAAACAGTGGTTGAAAAGGGATTTCAAAAGTAGCAGAAGGAGGTTGGGCGGGGACTGCACCTACTTCAGCCTACCTCCAGCTCACAAAAATGCAGTAAAAGTTCTGGCTGAATCAATGTCCCAGCACACAGGTGTGTACTGGTCATGGGACAGAAAGAGATCCCACCACCTCCTAGGAGGAGGTAGTACTCTGGAAGATGAATTTTGGCTTGGGCTGGTAACAGACCTCTGGAGAAACCCAACAGTGGGATTGCTCCCCCTTCCCATCACAGGCAACCCCGTCTGCTCTCAGTACAGTACCGATCGTTTGCGTTTCTGGGAGCTTGGTCTGCTGGCTCCATGCAGAAAAGGGAGCTCCCCAAGGCAGGTGGGCTGTGCAGAGGAGTCTGGGGACATGTGCACCATGAGAGAGGGGACCTTCCTTTGCTGGTTCAACAGGATGGGCCTCAAACTGGCATCTGATATTTCTACAGAGAGGAGAGAGGGAAGAATTAAACCAACCTGAATGCCCTCAGTACAGGAGAGAAGAAAGATCCACCCATGTAGGAAAGCCAACCCTATGTCTAGTACCAGCCATATATCAAAAAAACATGTCCCACAGGTGTGAGAGGCAGGAGAGCCTGGAGGGGCATGGACTGGAAAGCAACTGGACACACTGCTCCAGGAAAGCAGGTTTCAGAGCTGTTTTTCAAAGAGACAGGGCCATATGTCTGTGCATCCCAAAGCAGGGAGCCTACCAAAGCCATGAGGTAAGTAATGTGAAGGGAGATGCCTTCACATTTTGCTCCTCTCCTTTTGGAACTAAGGCCCATCCTGCCTTCTGTTAGTCACCTTTTCCCACCCCTCCCCAAGCATCTCCACACCATCCTGTCCTGCCTTCAAGAAGAAAGCTGACTGCAATACCTGCCCCTGTTCTCTCCTCTTGCAAGGCAAACCACTGGGGATTTTATAAAGGGATCCTAGTCTCTAGAATGTTGTAGAGTCCCACCAACCTTCAGCCACCCCAAAAGACAACCCAGGACATTACCTGCAAGAGAAATCCTATCAGGGATGTGCATCCGAAAGGAAGGAGGGACATCCTCTGTCACTGGCTCCTCATCCCCAGGACTGGAGCTATCTGCTACCTTCAGCCTGTTGGGAACCTGCATCCTCTGATTGATGGCTTCTGTGAAGAGCAGGTCACAGCGGGCTCGGTTCAAGTCCAGTCCCCAAAATGGCCACATCTTTTTTGATTTCCTCAGATTGCTTAGCACTCTGGGCTTCACACAGAGGAAAAAAAAAAAAAAAAAGCTGAGCGAAAGTGGTAGCAAGCAGCTCTTCCAAACTGGCACCTGGACAGGGACAACGCGTGTTCTATAAGAGAGCTAAAATAAGGCAGAAACAACCCAAAAGACAGACACAGAGTTGTCCCAGATAACGGGCTGTCCCACAGGGCCACTGCAGGTGGGAGCTCCTGTCTGGCAGGGTGAGAAAGAAGAAAGCTACGTGTCCTGGGAGCAAAGCACCTATTTCTTCCATTGATAGCAAGGAAAGGGCAATAATTCAGCCCACCTGTGGGAGGAGTTAAGCATACCCTAAAAAATAGTGAAAAAATTATTATTTTCCATCCAAAAGTAAAGGCAGGAGGGCTGGGAGCACATTTTCACGTTCATACACCTTCCAGGAAAAATTAGGTTTTCTAAAAACAAAGCACATGTTTTGTGACAAGATTCCAGGTTACCACAGGAAAAAGTGAGCACTAGACTTTCTCTGCACACTCTCCCCACCCAACCCAGCACCCATCTCCTCCAGGGACCCACACCACACTGAACAAGATGGACTTTTCCCTGAGCAGAGCTGCCAGATGCTGAAGCATCCTCTGGGAGGGGAAGGAAAAGCACACAGCAGCTCCATTGGGGGGACCAGCACTGAGGAGGGACAGTCTCCAGCTCTCACTGCTCCTGGGGCAGCCAACAGTAGGAGCAGAACATGGGACATAGGTGCTGTCTGGGGCTTTGCAGCTGCTCAGGATGGACAACTGCCCTGTGCCTCGGTTTACCCATGGCCAAGTCCCAGGGCTTTCAGAAGTGCTCTGGGGTCCAATGTCCCAACGCTTTCACTGAGTGATGTGAGCAGAGGGCAAACAACCTACATTTTTTGGGAGAGGAGCTGCCCAAAACACCTTCCTGGCTCCCTGCATATGCACTCTGTTCTTTCTCTAAAAGCTACAGTCAAGGAGAAAACCCCAACAAGCAAAGGCTGCCAAGGCTGGCGGACCCCAGCCAGACCCCAGTGCTGCCCCAACATCCCAGACACGCCACGTGCATGCACAGCCCCGCTGCACACTCCTTGCTGCCGCCCTTTTCTTGAAGGTTAAACCTTTAGAACAAATGCAGCAACATTATGCTTAGGTCAAGAAACATGTTCTTTGTGTATGTTGAAGCGACAGGCATCCCAAATCAACAGAACAAGGAGATAGCCTCCTCCAAGCAAAGACAGCCGGAGCCATGAGACCTTGCAGAGGGTACATTGACAACTTGGCAAACAAACCCAAGGTCCACCTATCCTTGGCTGAACTACCCGCATTATAATACTAAAAGTCATGCCTATGGGTCAAGAAGACCCTTGCCCGGGTGAAGACCCTTCCCCTGAGCATGTATAGTAGTAGAAGTATTGTATCAGCAGTAATATAATTGTATGTAAATTACTAACCAATCATCCTAGAAAGGATGGGCTTGGAAAATCACTAACTCAGCAAGTTTTGTGTATAAATACAGCGTGAAAAGTCTGTTAGTGTGCTTGATTTGTGGGAAATGACCAAGCACCGAGGCTTGGGCAACCCTGAAATAAATAAGCAATGTCTCTCCCGAGTGTGTGATTATTGACCTATTGCACACCGGGCGATGAATCCACTTTTCAGACAACACACTGAGCTCACCATGCCCAAAATGGTCCCTTTTTGCTTCCAGGTCAAAGTCTCCACCCTAAGGTGCCCCCACCTGCTCCAGCACAGCACAAACAGCCAGAGGACGGAGAGGTTTTCCTCTTCAAAGCTCAAGCAGGGAAAATGGGAGGAGGCAAGTGAGTGAGAGCATGCAGGGGCCCTGCCTTCTGTGATCCTGTCTGGGGACTATATTTAGCAGCGAGGGCTGTGACGCTGCGTTTCCAGGCCACACCAGGCCAGGGCTGCCCACCGCCACCCTCACTGCTGCTTTCCTGGGTGCTCTTGGCCCTCTCGCCTGCCCCAGCCCCCTGCCACCCCCTGGGATATCACCCAGGTGAGAGGAGCAGAGGGAAGCAGCTCCATCTCCTGAAGGCCAAAGGACCAGGTGGGACACAGCCCCCGATTCCATCCCCTGCAGCGGCTGGGCCCTGTAACACGGGTACACGAGGGCGGCAGAACTTGCAGAACTGGTCTGCAATAACCAGCACTTCCAGTATCACCTGCCTCATGCTGCTCTCTACTCCTCCGTCATTAAAAACCTTTTAATTAAACAGACAGAAATCTGCGGCGGCGATTTGCTGCTTCCAGACGCGCAGAGATGAGATCCCCAACTCTGCAACTGGGTCTGCCACAGAGGTGCTGCCGGAGATGGGTTGTCGGGGGGCTCAGCACCCCCCCTGCTGCCCCACACCTTCTCCACCACCCTGCCCAGACCCAACACTGGCAGGGGTGACACCAACCCACGGGTGTCACAACACACATGCACCCTGCTTCTCCCCAGAACCTCAAAGAAGGTGGATTTTTGCAGGAACCCCCCTCTCGGGAGTGGGACAAGTCCTGGGACAGTCCCAAAGCGTGTCAGTGCCACAGGAGAAACCTGCACCCGAAACCCAGCCCCACGGTCCAGAACCGAAGAAAACCAGGTTTCTCCTTCACATTTTGGTGCTTTGGAGGAGCAAACACCTTGTGTCGTTTCCTCAGCCTGTGCTCTGGGAAACCGGCATATATTAGTAACAGTAAATCTGGAGAGGGCAGATCGGTTCATTGTCTAATCACCTGTGAAACTGCTGCAGCTCCCCAAGAGCAGAGGAATGGAGGC